AGGCGTGGCATTCCCTCGACGCCACAGGGGGTGCGCCGCTGGGGGTGGGGGCCCTATGCGCTGCAGGCTCCCAGGGCGTGGCAGGCGTGGCGTCGCTTCGACGCCACAGGGGGTGCGCTTGGGGTGGGGGCCCTATGCGCTGCAGACTCCCAGGGCGTGGCAGGCGTGGCATTACCTCGACGCCACAGGGGGTGCGCTGGGGGTGGGGGGCCTATGCGCTGCAGGCTCCAAGGGCGTGGCCGGCGCGGCATTTCCTCGACGCCGCAGGGGGTGCGCTGGGGGTGGGGGCCCTATGCGCTGCAGACTCCCAGGGCGTGGCAGGCGCGGCATTTCCTCGACGCCACAGGTGGTGCGCTGGGGGTGGGGGCCCTATGCGCTGCAGGCTCCCAGGGCGTGGCAGGCGTGCCATTTCCTCGACGCCGCAGGGGGTGCGTGGGGGTGGGAGCTCGTGTCTCGTCAAGAACTGTAAACATGGATGACGTGGGACAGCGGCAGGAGTTCGCCGTGGACGAGTCCAGCTACAGGAAGGACCACCACTATGTTGGGCGAGTCCCCATTGTTATTCACTTGGGCGACTTCCTCCAGCTCACCCCGACGAAAGCCATAGGGCTCATCAGGGACGTCCAAGCGAAAGATGAGCACGGCAATTACAAGTTCGATCCGCCTGCGAGCGTGGAAGTGCAGCACGCCATTAGAGCGTTCGGCAAAGTGCCCCACGTGATCGAGCTGAAGGGCACAAAGCGCCTCAAGCCGGGCGACCCGCTGATCGAGTTCCTCGCCTGCATGCGCCACGCGCGACGAATCCCCGACCATGTCTGGGCAGCCTTCCAGGCTCGGGTCGCCACCGACTGCACGACCGGAGCGAGGGACCCGAGGCACGACGAGGAGAAGTTTGCGACCGGACTCGGGATGGCCTGGTACTGGAGTACTCTGTGCTGATGGATATCTCGCCGGACCATGGTCGACTCTCGCGCCATGGGCGTGCCGCTGGTCTTCCTGCAGTCAAAAGACGAGGGCGTCTCCTGCGGCACACCGCAGGAAACAGTGGAGGCTTGCAAAAGGCTGCTGACAGTGCCGAACCCTTGCGAGACGGGGCACATGCACGGAGTTCCCCCAGCGCACGTGGGCATGGAGGTGAGATTCACCGTCAAGGTGTCTAAGCGCAGGAGTTTGGTCCAGGAGCAGAAGGCCACCATAGTGAGCTTCGTGTTCGAGAGCAGCGACCAGCGCGCACGATGCGCGCGCGCAGGAGAGATCTTCCGCCCGCGCTTCCTGCCTGCCGGACAAAACGCACCGGGTCAAGAGGTCCGGGCACGCGGTCACGCACGGGCGCTTCCTGACATCCACCGCGTCACAGAGCCAGACGATCCGCACCGGGGTGACCATCGACAGCGCGCAGGAGCTGAGCATTGGCAGACCGGAGGAAAGAGAGGAAACCTGGTGGCTCCACCTGTACGCGATGCTCAGCAGAGCTACTTGCATGGAAGACATGCTTTTGCTTCGGCCGCCGCCACGGGAGGTCTTGCAGAAGGGCCCACCTCCGTCCGTGCTCAAAGCCCTGCAGAAGTTTGATGAGCGCATGACTACGGAGACGCGGGAGATTGAAGACCTCGCTCTGGAACGCCAGTGGATATTGCCGGCGGCGTGAGGTCATTGGAGCGCACGGCCGCCAAAGTCTTTCCGACGAAGGCAGCGCTGTCCAGCCGCGTCGAATTCGCGCGGCCCGCGCCGCTCCTGGGCGATGTCGGAGCGTCCGCCCAGCTTTGGGCGTCGTGGCAACAGCAGCCCAGAGATATTCCATCGAAGGGCACTCGCATTTTGCACGCAGGCGGGCCACGTTTGCCATGCAAGTTTTTTGCGCGCGCACCTCAGAAACTCTCCGTCGAAGAGACGCGGCGACAGACGTGTGGAAACTGCATGAGACTAGAAAAAGTAGACCCACCGAGGAAAGAAAGGGAGGCAAGGATGCGGAAGAACGCAACATGAGGCGAGGGAGAAAGGATAACTCTAGAGGTTCCCTAGAGCGGCAGTGCAAGGGGTGTGATTTGCACCAACTTCTAAAGTGGGCCCCTGACTACTCGAGCTGTGGCAAATCGTTCTTCATCACCTCACTGCTTGTTGCGATCCCAGGAAACGGCCCTCGGTGACCACCCCGAACTTTTTTCCCGATGAAGGATGGAAGGCGGGGAAGAGGGAGGATGTTCAATCAGTGGTGCGATGGATGACAAGATTGGGAAACATTCGCGACGAGGGTTTAGCATGCAGGATTGCGCATAGATGATAATGAAAAGCAAACACATAATAGTTTAAGTAAGTATGTGGGGTTCCTCGGTAGCGTAATTTGGCATTTTCACCCACCCAGTACAATGCTTCGTGACCCCATAGGGAGCTCCGCCGAAGCCCCCAGTGGGACCGTCCGCATGAGCCCCGAAAACCAAATTTGGCACACCCCTCATACGTTTCGTGACCCCATAGGGAGCTCCACCGAAGCCACCACTGGGACCGCCCGCATGCGTCCCACACACCAGGTTTTGCATGTTCTCCCCACCCAGTACGGCGTTTCGTGGCATAGGGAGTTCGCCCGACGGCCCCAGTTCTACCGTCCGCATGCGTTCCCCCCCACCCAGTGCAGCGCTTCGTGGCCCATACGGAGCTCCACCGAAGCCCCCAGCGGGACCGTCCGCATGCGTCCTGGAAGCCAAATGTGGCACACCCTTCATACGTTTCGTGGCCCCGTAGGGAGCTCCTCCGAAGCCACCAGTGGGACCGCCCGTATGCGTCCCACACACCAAATTTGGCATGTTCACCCCACCCAGTACGGCGTTTCGTGGCCCCATAGGGAGTTCGCCCGACGGCCCCAGTCCTACCGCCCGCATGCGTTCCCCCCCACCCAGTGCAGCGCTTCGTGGCCCCATGGGGAGCTCCACCGAAGAAAAGATTCACAATTGCGGTACCCACAACTGCAGATGGTTGGGTCCGTCGCCAGGATAATTTTATTCGTCGTTTCGAGGAAGAGGAGGAGGAGGAGGAGGAGGAGGAGGAGGATCACTGACCAAACTGCCAGGTCAGCGAGCGGGCCGCCATTGAACAGTCCCGCGAGGGCGCTAGGCGCAATGAGGAACTGCCAATGGGGGACACCCACTGCTTGGGGAAACCCCAACTCGCAGCCTGTTAAAAGGGGGTTGCTAACGAGGGCCCGCCCTGTCTAGCAGCCCCAAATCGACAGCACTGTACCCGGGGAGGTGGATGCGCAGAGGAGAGGGCCTGCGTTGAAAACGCCAGCTCCCTCTCGTGAAGGGACAAGTGGGGGAGGTGAGGAGGAGACGGCCTGCGTTGAAAACGCCGGCTCCCTCTCCTGGATGGCGCTCCCTCTCGTGGAGGGCGGCTCCCTCTCGTGGAGGGCGGCTCCCTCTCGTGGAGGGCGGCTCCCTCTCGTGGAGGGCGGCTCCCTCTCGTGGAGGGCGGCTCCCTCTCATGAAGGGGGGCTCCCTCTCGTGGAGGGCGGCTCCCTCTCGTGGAGGGCGGCTCCCTCTCAAGGAGGGCGGCTCCCCCTCGTGGAGGGCGGCTCCCTCTCGTGGAGGGCGGCAAGAGAAGGAGGCGGAGCGGGCCAGAGCAGGGGATGGGGGGGGAGCGGGCGAGAGAAGTGGAAGGGAGAGGGGCAAGGGTGCTGCCGAGAGTGAGGGGAAGAAAACTTCGCCCCAGTCCACGCTTGGACACAACACTTCCCAATTCTCTCGGGAGGAGAAAGAGGAGGAGGAGGAGGAGGAGGAGGAGGAGGAGGAGGAAGAGGAGGAGGAGGGGTGGGTCTGGCTCTGGACCTCTTCTGAATGCGACGGTTTGCAAGAGTGCTGCCTCTGGGGGAGACTCTCTCGACTCCACCCGCTCGAAACAGGCGCCAGAAACCAGCCAAGATCTACTCCAGGGGGGGGGGGAGGGGGGTTTGGGTGCCCGCGCCGATCGGCAAAAAAATGATTAGAAAAACGGTCACCTTGATCACCAGTACCAGAACTTGAGGTTTTCCCGTGCCAGGCCCTGGGAGGCGACACTCGTTCGACACTGTTTCGATATTGTTCTGGGCGCTCGAAATTGTTTCTGGGATGTCGTGGTCCTCGAATACGGAGCAGCAGAACTCGAGTGCTCGTCGGTCGTGGTCCTGGCGGAGCCGCTGGCCCTCAGTCGACTGCACGCAAGAGTGACCCTGGGTAAGATTGACCTTTGGTGCGCGGTTCAATGGGGGCCGCTGGGGGACCAAACACGAGCGCGCAAGACGCTAATACAGCATTTGGGCGCCCGAGTTATCCGGGGTAACTCGGGTCCGGGGTAAGTCGGGTTTGGATTCCCGAGAAACGGAACCCGAGTTAGCCCTGACCCGAGTTACCCCTGATGATTCGGGGCTCTGGACGCCCGAGTTATCCGGGGTAACTCGGGTCCGGGGTAACTCGGGTTTGGATTCCCGAGAAGCGAACCCGAGTTATCCCTGACCCGAGTTACCCCTGATGATTCGGGGCTCTGAAGCATCGCGTTCGGCGATCGGGGAGCCCCCTTTGGGCCCGCACCACAGGTCACTCCGGCGAAAGCTCACTCTTACGTGTAGTCGGCTCGGGGGGCTGCCCCGAGCTCTGGTCCCTTCCCAGGCAGGCTCCCCGCTCGGCACTGCGCAGGGCGGCTTGTGCCCGCACCTGCCTCTGGCAGTTTCGCCTCGCCGCTGCGGCAACCCATCGGGGCCGAGGAGGAGGAGGACGACGACGAGGACGAGGACGAGGACGAGGACGAGCACGAGGGGGAGGGGGAGGGGAAGGAGGAGGAGGAGGACGAGGAGGAGGACGAGGAGGAGGAGGACGAGGACGAGGACGAGGACGAGGACAAGCACGAGGACGAGGACGAGGAGGAGGAGGTCCGGGAATCGGGCGTCTTGAGCAAAAAACCGCTTCCAGCTCTGGCGTTCCCGTCGGCTCTTGGGGTCGTTTTGTGCCTCGGGATGCTCTCCCGCAGCTGCGCCTCCCCCCGAGGCCATTTTTGGGGTGCCCCAGTCGTCCCGAAGGGTCGCTGGAGACCCGAATGACTATCCAAAAGCCAAGCCCCTGTCGTCGTGAACAGGATCACGGCAAAGGATGCTTGCCCATCTGCGGCCTCGGGGGCCCTCACCGAACTAGGGGGCCGTCCGAAGACGGCGCGGGGCGGAAGGCCAGCCCAGGGGAGAGGGTCCAGACGCCTGCACACGTGGAGCCACGTTGCGAAACAGCCACGACGTCGCGTGTCTGGGAATCCGGGCGTGGAACAAAATGCCAAGCTCAAGGCGAATTTTTGTTCGCCGTCTTTGACCTCCTTGGGCCCCTCGCCAGGCACCGCACGCTCGCAAGAGGGCGCGGCTAGACGGCGCATCGGCAGGAATTCCGCTTGAGAAAAGGCCAAGGCGAACATGAAAAAAAACCGGAACGCGAGCGCGCCGGAGCACAGACACCGTACACATACCACTGCTTAGCAGCGGATGGCTTTACAGTCTCGTGGAAAACGCGCAGTGGGAGGAGGAGGAGGAGGAGGAGGAGGAGGAGGAGGAGGAGGAGGAGGAGGAGGAGGAGGAGGAGAGGGGGACGGAAGGGGTGTGAAGAGGGAGGGAGGAAGGGAGGGGAGGGGCCAAAACGGCGACGCGGCTCGCCAAAACAGAACACCCCAACGATCCTGACCTGGTTGGTCCCCCGGGCCCAGGATCGGTTTCTGCGCGTCTCCAGGCAAGCCAGGAACGTTTGACGACGTCTGTCGTCCCTCGACTCGCGCTGGAGCGGTCACGATCTGCTCCCGAGGTGTCTGGAAATTTCCGGAGTTGCCTGCATGCATCCAGATGCACCTTGATTCATCGGTATTTGCCTCGAGTTGTCCAGCTTGACCCCCACAAGTGGATCGTCGAAAAGTCGTCAAGCCCTTGGGCACAGGTGGGCGTGGACACCGACTCTGGGCCCAAGTTGGGCCTTGCCAGCATCGGTGAGGCGGTAAGTTCCAAGACATGCGATGTATTGAGTTCTTCTTGGCCGCGCGCACACGGGGGTAGGGGAAGGGGGGGAAGGCTTCTTAGAAGAAGGCTGCTTCGTAGAAGACTCTTGTCCTACATTTAGGTCGGGCGTGTCCTCCTACAGGCGGATCTTGAAAGAGAAATGAAAATAGTCAAACACATATACTCAATAATAGTAAACAATGACGGAAAAGTCGTGCCGAACATATGTTTGAAGATTCCTCCTGTAGAGGGACACGCCCGACTGAGCCCCCAAATCTACAGACAAGGCCCGCGCTTTCTAAGGAGCAGAGGTGTTTCTAAGAAGCCTTCCCCTCTCCACCTTCTCTACCCTTGAGCAGGGGCCGACCGTCCCGACAAGGTTCTCAGAGCATAAACCCGATGTGTTAAGACAAGACAGTCTCAGCCAGAACTGTTCTAAGAACAGTTCGTGCAGACCACAAAAGGCTCTTAGAACATCTCTTGGTGGGCCCATAGGTAAGCCAGGACGCTTCGCCACTGCTCGATCCTCTGTGCACGGGCGACCTTCATAACGCGGCCCCCGAAGCCTCCCGACCCGTTCCCAGAGGCCGGCTTCTCGTCCCCAGTCGTTCTCGACGGTCCTGGGGCCCAGTTTGGGGCCCTGTAGGAGGAGGAGGAAAAGAAAAAGGAGGAGGAAGAGGAGGAGGAGGAGGGCCCGTAGCCATTTTGGCTCAAGCCGCGTCGCGCGCCCCGACCATCTTGGCTCAACCAGGCATGGCATGGCACGCGGCAGGAATGGCGAGGTTCGGGCAAGGCGCGCCTACGCAATGGTGTGCGAAGCCCGTCGAGAAAAACCAGCATCTCATGGTCAAGAGCAGTCCAAGCGGCACGAAAGGGCAAACAGGCCCAGGCGAGAGCAGTCACAACAGCTAAGGTGCAGGAGCAGGCTTCGTACATCGCCTCTCTTCAGCGCCGCTTATCATGGTGGGAAGAACGTTGGCACAACTTACAGCTGGACAACTGGCAAAGCACGGACGACTTGCTGCGGAGCCTCGTCGGCGCGGCCGACCCTCTGCAAGGCGAGGTCAACGCGAGAATGCACCACATCGAGCCCGTCATCAAGCAGAATGTCGAGGCCGCAGCGTTCGGGTCGAAACCGAACATCTGCGGAGCTGGACGGGCATCCAGAAACAATGCGGAGCACAACTTCGACCAGGCAATCCACGTCTTGAACGCGAGGCCGCAGGAAAATCGGCGTCTCCGTCACTTAAGCCAACGAGAAGCAGTCCTTGAATCCAGGCAGCACCGACGAGCATGGCTACGTCGGCAAGAGCGCGCTTCGCTCCTACGCCAGCAGGCGGCCGAGCCTCCGCCCCACGCCCAGCAAGGAGGAGGTGGAGGACCAAATGCGGAGAGCACGATCGGCCGCACATCCTCTTCTTCATGGTGCTCCGAGCGACTCAGCTGCCACGGGCACTGCTTCCGAGGGCGTCTTCGTTTCTTCCGGTACACTGCGTGGCGAGGGGGTAGGCCACGAGCTCCACGAGACGAAGGGCTCCGAGGCGGAGGACGGCGACGGCTTCGACGACGACGACGACGCCCTGGAACCCCTGCGCGGCGAGGGGCTAGGCCACGAGCTCCACAAGACGAGCTCTGCGGCGGAGGACGGCGACAGCTTCGACGACGACGATTCCTCCGGACCCCAGCGTGGCGAGGGGTTAGGCCACTGCGCACCCCAGCGTGGTGAGGGGGTAGGCCACGAGCGCCGCGAGACGAAGAGCTCCGAGGCGGAGAACGGCGACAGCATCGACTACGACGACTCCTTCGGACCCCTGCGTGGCGAGGGGGTAGGCCACCGCGAACCCCTGCGCGGCGAGGGGTTAGGCCACATCAGCAAGCAGGTCACCATGACACACAGCATCCCCATCGACACCGAAAAGTTCGACGAGCACATCCCATGGCAGTCCCGCATCCTCGGCGAGAGAAGCAGGAACATCCGCTGCATCCAGGCGGAGACTGGCGTGCGCGCGCTACTCACGGCAGTGCAAGGGAAGGACGGCCTCGAATTGTTCATCGCAGCTTCGAGCGAGACCGACGGCGACGACTTCGATAGGAGAGTGCGTCCGCACAGAGGCCGCCGAGTGGTCGGCGCACGCTGGCGCGACCATGGACTCAGACGACGAGGACCAGACCGACTCCGAGGAGGACGACCCCTGCGTGGCGAGGGGTAGGCCACACGCAGCCCCTGCGAGGCGAGGGGGTAGGCCTCAGCCCTGCGGGGCCCCCTGCGAGGCAAGGGGGTAGGCCTCCGTTCGACGTCCACGAGTTCGTCGATTCCTTCGTCAGTGTCTCTTGACGGGCGAGCTCCTCCACCTCAACCAACCTCGAGGACCTCGGGAAGGCAGGATGGGTAGGAGGAGGGCGCCCTCTCTGCGGCCGCGTCTTTAGTTAGACTCAGGGCCGATATTGAAAGGGTCTTGAAAGGAGGAGGAGGAGGAGGAGGAGGAGGAGGAGGAGGAGGAGGAGGGAGGAGGGAGGAGGGAAGAGGGACCTACGAATATCCCGTCGCGATTCTTTGACAACGCCAGCACGACTGGGCTGGCGTCGCCCGAGAACCGCAGCAGGCAGACAGGGGGAGCCCTGGTGACTCCATCGTCTCGGGGCCTTTCGACTACACGCAGGAGTGACCCTGGAGTAGAGGAGGAGGGGGCGGAAAAGGAGGAGGAGGAGGAAGAGGAGGCGGGGGAGGAGGAGGAGGAGGAGGAGGAGGGGCAGGAGGAGGGGCAGGAGGGGGAGCAGGAGGAGGAGGAGGAGGAGGAGGAGGAGGAGGAGGAGTGACCTCTGGTGCGCGGCCTCTTGGGGGCGGAGGGGGACCCAAACACAGGTAGTAGCGCATCGCGTTCGGCGATCGGGTGACCCCATTGAGCCCGCACCAAAGGTCACTCCGACGAAAGATAACTCTTAAGTGAAGTCGAGCCTTGCGAGTGGCATTTTTGGGAGCGCTCCCGGCCAATGCCACGGGGGGGGGCACCACCAGGGGGGTCGCCACCTCCTGAAGGAGCCCCTCATGCTCCCCCAAGCCCTCCAGAACAACCCCACGACCCCAGAATCATCTCAAGGCCTCCTCGATCGTTGATCCTCACCCACGGAGTGGGCGACTACAGAACGCCTGGAAGCGCCTGGGAGCGCCGTGCAGCGCATGAGGAGGAGGAGGAGGAGGAGGAGGAGGAGGAGGAGGCGGAGGAGGAGGAGGGAGAGGAGGAGGAGGAGGCGGAGGAGGAGGAGGAGGAGGAGGAGGCGGAGGCGGAGGAGGAGGAGGAGGAGGAGGAGGAGGAGGAGAGGCGGCGGAGGAGGGCAAGGCCTGGCCCTCAGGGCGAGCGCTCCGAGGGCAGAGCCTCGAAGCGGAGCCCCGGGGAGCCCCAGAGGCACGACGCGGTCGCGCAGGCGCCACCGAGCAGGCAGCCCGGCGCCCCCTCCGACGCCGCGCCTTCACGGCGCCACGCGCGCGGAGCCGCCGCCGCAGCCACAGCCGCAGCACCACCTCCGACGCCTGAGCCTGATGGCTCCGTGGCCGTGGCCGCAGCCGCACCTTCATCTCGACACGCCCCTGGCCCTCCGACGGTCCCAGCGGGCCCCTCGCCGCGCACCTTGGCGGCCCCGTCGGCGTCGCGGGGCTGCCGCGTAGCCTCTTCGCGCACGCCCTTGGGGCCGCCGGCGGGCTTCGGGCGGTCCCGGAACACTGACATCAGCACGATGCTGGCGAACATCAGCATCCGCTGCCGCGCGGTGGCCGCGGGATGTGTGGCGGTGGCCCCCTCCTCCTCCTCCTCCTCCTCCTCCTCCTCCTCCTCCTCCTCCTCATCCTCCTCATCCTCCACTTCCTCTCCTTGTGAATAACTTCTCCTTGTCGCACCCCGAGGCCAGTTTTCAGGGATTGCCGGGCGTTACGCCTGAGACTTTCACACCACGTATGACCCTGAAGCGTAAACATTGACAACAGCTTCACAGATGGAGGGCGGGTCGTTTTCAAAATGTGGCTCTCGCCTTAGCGCCGCGCGCATTTTTTGAGCATGTTCAAGAGCTTCACGGATTGAGGGCGAATGGTTTTCAAAATGTGGCTCTCGTCTTAGCGCCGCGCACATTCGCTTCAAAATCTTGCAAAAGATTCGCGGATTGAAAGCGGTTTCCTTTCACAATGTGGCTCTCGCCTTAGCGCCACGCACATTCGTTTTCAACATTTGCAAGAGCCTCACGGATTCCCATGATCAGCGTACCAGGACTGATGTTTTGGAAGGATTCAGGATTATGAGGGTGCAATAGTTACGTTGATTGGCGGAATTAAAATCCCGAGAACGACGTTCTGGCACAATTCAGGCTCGTCAAGACTCAACAGTCAGGTTGTTCCGTGGCGTTGGGATCCCGAGAACATTTGTTTGGCATGCTTCAGGGTCTTCAAACGGTTGTCTCCCAACGAGGCAGTTCCCTCAGTGGAATTGATCCGTTGTAGGGGCCCATGAAGAGGAAGCTTGAAGGGAGGGTGTATCACAACATCGTTGATGACTCTTGGGTTTACACTGGTCCTCCTCCTCCTCCTCCTCCTCCTCCTCCTGCTCCCTCCTTTCCTCCTCCTCCTCCTCCTCCTCTTCCTCCTCCTCATCCTCCTCTCGGATTCTTCTTAGTAGTAACATTGTTTGTATGTATCCTACTCTTTGTGCTAATAGAAGTCGTAGTCGCAGTAGATGAATCAATCTTAGTCATATGATCGTTCTTCTTCATACGAAGATGTCCTGCGTGTCTTCCCGATCCTCCGCCTCCTGAAGGAGGAGGGAGGAGGGAGGAGGACGAGGAGGAGGAGGAGAGGAGGAGAGGAGGAAGGGAGAGCAGGGAGGAGAAGGGACGAGGAGGAGGACAAAGAAGTCTTCCGTGATTCGAGGCAGTCCGGGACCCCCCGCCTAGTACCTGGCAAACCAATGGGAGGTCTTCGCGGGTAGGACCCCGAACCTGCTCATCCGCAATGCGGAGCCACGGACCAGGCTGGACCTGAGTGAGCCCTGGGCTGAGCCAGAGATCAATAAGCGGGGCCAGGTAAAACTCCCTTGGGGCAGGTTAGGCAAGATGCACACGAAGCAGGTGGCAGGGCCAAATGTGGGAGGCGTAGAAGTGTATATGTGAGTGCGTGCGTACAGGCATACCTACACACAAATCTACAGATGCCTGTATCAACACTCATTAGACTGAGACAGCGGGGTGTCACCGCCGCGGATTGTCACCGCAGACTCAATACGTGTACATGTACACATCCGTATACATGTACGTGTGCACACGCCTGTACACATAGGCATGTATATGGGCATAGTTCAGAATGTGAAGATGGCCCATTTGTATGTATGTGTATATGCATGCGTGGATGCATTGTGTTTGTATGTGTGTATGTATGTGTGTACGTATGCAAATTCATCTAAACATACCAACATACTATAACTATACATAAATCTGCGAATATATATAAATATATATATATATATATATACATCAGATGCGTGTATTGTATAGGTATGTGCATTTGCAAACAAAAAACAACACACGATATGCAACGGCATACGTATACATCGACACTGGTACGTAAACGTGAACATGCCTTACCTTACCTATCAATATAGATATGCATGCACAAAAATACACATGTGCGAGCGTGTTTACGTAAACGTATACAGAGATGCAACCGAAACCGTATATACCTACATCTTTGTATATATACATATACATATGTATACATATATATGTGTATATGCGTGTGAGTACACCAACATGCGTACAGCGCGTATGAACATGAGTGCACACATATGCATCTAGACATGTACGTACAAGTGTACTGATGCATGTGCCTTTACATTTATCTACACATATAACTGCACAGGCACGCGTAAAAGAAATATACCTCGACATGTCCACAACCATGTATCTAAATATACATATGCATATGTGCATGCGCATTCAAATGTACGCATGCGTAAACAAGCATTTGCACATGTACATATACGAATGCATAAACAGATATCCGCTACCGTGCCCTGCGGCACGAGCTGGAGTGTCCTCAGGTCCTTCGCCGTATCTCTTAGGCCAAAGTCCTCCATCCTGGGGTTGCTTCAAGGGGCCCAGACCCCTAGCTCTCAAATCGTCTTGGGCTTGTCGCGTGATTCCCGGGCGCCAGGGCGTCGTGTCGCGTGACTTTCCCGGGCCCACAAGGGCCATCAAATGGGCCCAGATGGGCCCCAAGAAGCCCCCAAGACGTTTCCAAAGTGCCCCGAATCGCTGAAAGAACGTTCCAACACGCCCACAGTTGGTCTTAAGACGGCCCAAGATGCCCTCAAGATACCCCAAGAGGCCTCCAAGAGGCCTCCCAAGAGGACCCTAACAGGCAAAACTAGTTGATGTTCCCTACGTGTTTGAAGCAGTTGGACATTATTGCCTGTTCGTCTTCCCGACGCTCCAGGACGGCCGAAGAGGCCCCCGAGATCGCCCCAAGACGGCCGAAAAAGCCTCAAGAGGGCAAAGAAAACAGCCCAAGATGGCTCCAAGAGGCCTCCAAGACGGCCCAAGAGGCCCCCAAGACTGCTCCAAAAGTGGGCCCAGACGGCGGACCCGAACGGAGATGTCAAGTCTTCGGCCCGGAGGCCCCCAGAGTGCCGCAAGAGGCCCCCAAAGGCCCCCAAGAGGCACGCAGGAAACCCCAAGAGGCCCCCAAGAGGCCCCTAAGAGGCCCCCTAAAAGGCTCCGAAGAGGCCCCAAGCCCCAAAACTGCCCCCAAGAGGGGCCTCGATCGACAGCGCTCCGACAAGACATCACCAAAAACATCCCCGAGGGATCCGACCCGCAACCCTGGCAGGGTGGCGGGATGGGCCGAAGGCCATATACACAAAAACCTGTACCTACATACCTGTGTATATATACACACACTCACACATCGGTACACATGCAAATAAAAAAAACAAATAACCAAAAACCATGCACACATATACCTACCTACGTACCTACATACTTACATAAAACAAAAACATACCTACATGCATACACACACATACCCACATACATACATACATACATACATACATGCATGAATGCATGCATGCATGCATACATCCATACATACATGTATGCATACAGGCATGCATGCATACATACATAGATGCATACATGCATGCATGCATACATACATGCATGTATAATTGCGTAGGTACAGGCAGCCAGGCAGACGGACAGGCAGGCAGACATGCATGCATACATGCATACATAATTAGAGTTGTACATGAAACGTAGACATGTACATACACATATTCATTGACATATACATGTACGTTTATATGTACAGACAAATATACCTAGACATATACGTAAACATATATATATATATATACATATACCTATACCTATGCATATACATATACGTATACATATACATGTGCATGTACGTGCACATGTGAATATGCATATACATATACATATGCATGTGCATATGCATATAGACGTATAAATATAGATGCATGTACATATGCGTATACACATACACATATACATATATATATATATATATATATATATATATATATATATGTTGGCGGTGCGCCGTGGCACGACCCCCCCCCCAGCACTACCGGGGGGTTTCGTGCACTACCGGGGGGTTTCGTGCAGCCCGCACCGGGTGCCGCCAGCGGCTTAGAACACCCCCCCCTTGCCGCTTTACCGGGGGGGTTCGTGCAGGCCGCATTGGGTCCTCCCCTGTCGCTTTACCGGGGGGTTTCGTGCAGGCCGCACTGCGTCTACCTGGGCTCCCCCCCCCCCCTGTGGGAGTGGGGGGGTGGGAGTGGGGGGTGGGTTGGGGGGGGGCAGGGGGGCGGTTGGGAAGGGTGGCTCCCTGTCGAAGTGTGGCGTGTGCTCGCCTTGTGTTCTCTATTCGCGTCTGCTCGCCTTTGTTCCGCCGCAGCCTCTCGTATTGTGGCTCGTGGCCACAATACGAGAGGCTGCGGCGCAACTCCCAAGAGCCGCTGTGGGGGGTCGACGGCACGGCCGCGTAGAAAAGAGCAGTGCCGCCGTGTTCCGGCACGGCCCTGGGATGCAATGCCGCCGCCGTGTTCCGGCCCGTCCTGGTAAGATTCGCGCGTCGGGGCTGGGGTTCGCGCATGCCTGGAGCGCGCCGCTTACGGAGGGGTTGCGTCCTTCCAGGGGGGGTTCGTGCAGCCTACCAGAGGAGGTCGTGTTTACCGGGGGTTTCGTGCAGGCCCGCACCGGGAATGGCGCCAGCTCGAACCCCCCCAGGAGAGATTACCGGGGGGGGGGGTCGCTCCGCACCGGGCACCGCCGACATATATACATGTAATAGGCATAGACATACGAGTATGCGTACACATTTGAACACATACACATACGCAAACACGCACACGTACACGTACACACACATGCATACATACAGGCATACGAACAAACAAGCATGCATATGCATACAGTCACATGCATCTATACATACATACATCTCTATACACATGCGTGTATGCATGCATGCATACACACAAACACGCATGCATACATTCATACAGAAACCACATGCATACATGCATACGTACACACAGACATACATACGTACGTCCATACACATTCACACACATATATGTATATATAGATATATGCGGGTGCAGTATATATAGAAACAAACATCATCGGGCCTGCGCCAAAACATTGAAGATATATGTTGCTGAACGTCTCGCGCGCGAGAAACTAACGCGAAGATTGTCCACCATGCTGTGCGCGGTGGCGGTGGCGGCTGCGAACATAGTTTCATGGGCAGCTTCCTGCCTTGAGGCGACTGGTTCAGCCCCTCGGGATCGAGCATCGAGGGTGCAGGATCGAGGGATCGAGGATCGACTGATTTGTCGATCCCTCGACCTATTCTCGACCCACCCTCAATCGATCCTCGTGAACCGAAGATCCCCGATCGATCTATCCTCGATCTGTCGATCAGTCCAGCCCCCCTCCCCCTACCTGGGCATCCCCCCGCGAGGATGCGGGCACGCGCGGCAGCGCAGCGGAATACAGCCACACGCGGTTGTCACGCTCGGGATGTTGTCATATAGCGTCACCTGCAAAATGTATCCAAAAGCCATGCACGCGGAATTGTTGATTATCGCGCTCGCGGCTGCCGGGCACAACTGCGAACCAGCGCTGATCAAAAGGGTTGCAAAGCCCGTTGATATCACAAGCAAAGTAAACCAGCCAATGGCGCCTGAAGCTGAGGCAGTCAATGTGCCCGACGGGTGCTCATCAACAAGTCGCGTCAAGGGCAGAACCATAAACACAATTGATGCCTGTGCAACCGTCGCTAGCGTCAGCAGCGATGGCGCAGCTGTGGGGCATTTTCTGGACGCAATAAAAATGCCTGCTTTGCTCATGCCAGATAAAAGCGCTAGAATGTCCGCCACCGTGCCTGGGAGGCACGCGTAGGAGTTTTCTCAAGTCCCTTGCTCAACCCCCTGAGACCCAATCTTCATTCTTGCGGATATTGTAGGGGGCCCAGACCGAAAATTCTCAAATCTCCAGGGGGCCCCAACGCGCCCGGGGTGTCTTCCCACATAACTCCTTCGGGGCCAAAATGGCCGAAAGACGGGCCAAGAACCCTTTGACCTACAACCAAGGCACGGTGGCGAAGCGGAGCAGAGCAGAGCGCGCAAATCCGCCAGACGGGACCCTTGAGGGTTGGCGCGGGCGGCCGGGGCACTTACACTGTGGTGTCCTTGACGTTCATTAAGAAGCCGTCGCGCGAGCGAAAGATACACGACACCAAGAAATGAACGATATCATGATCCCATCTATCCCGTTGCCCTCCGTGTTTCTCGGGAGCGGCCAAGAGGGAAATGTCCAAGAAAGGGGGGGGTACAAATCATGACCGGCGGCATGTGCGCGGCCCAGCGGGGGGGCCAGGGACGTAGTGAAATGAGAAGAGGCACCATGAAATCTGGGGAAATATCAGGGCCCCCGCCATGATATCCACGCCCCCCTAGTCATCACCCCCCTCTTTTCCGCCCCCGAGTTTCCTCTGGGCACATCGTTTGTCATGTACGGGGGGGTCCCAAACGGCAGCACGTCGTGGCCATCGTTCCGTCGATTCACTTGCAGCGCGGCAGGTCCACCGCCACCGCCTTTGGAAATGAACGATTGTCCAATATTCGATTTGGGATCGATTGGCGTGGGCGTTGGCAGTTTGCGTTGCTCTCCGGATGAAGTCAAGGTGTGGGGACGGGGGCGGACGGGGGGGGTGAGGGGTGGGGGGGGGCCCGGGTCTGAATACAATTTCCCTCCCGGGACCAACGCAAGCCTCCAGACGAACCAGGAGTAGCCAAAGAGCCCCTCAACATGGTCCAAGAGGGCCCCGAATCGCCGAACGATCGGTTCAAGACGTCCAAGATAGCCTCCACACGGCCCAAGAAGTCTCCAAGTCGCCCCAAAAGCCTCCAAGACGATTCCCAAAGAGTCCGAAAAGGGAAAAGTCATTGATTTCCCTTTACTTTTCGAAAAAAATTAGCGTTCTCGCCTTTTCGGCCTCCCGACGCTAGGAGACAGCCCAAGAGGCCTCCAAGAGAGCCACAAAACTACCCAAGAGGGCCCCAAGACAGCCCAAGAGGCCACGAAGATGACCAAAGAGGCCAACAAGACGGCTCCAAGAAGGCGCCCCGACGGGGGACCCAACGAACATTTCGAGCCCTCGGCCCCGAAGGGCTTCCAAGAGGCCCCAGGACGCCCCCAAGAGGCCCCCCAAGGCCCCGAGAGGCCCCGAGAGACTGCCAGGAAGCTCCAAAAGGCTCCCCAGAGGCTCCCACGAGGCCCCCAAAATGCTCCCAATATGCCCCCAAACTGCCCCCCAGAAGACCCCGAGACCGCTACTACTACCACTACTGGTACTGCTACCAGCCGTACTACTACTACTACTACTACTACTACTACTACTACTACTACTACTACTACTACTACGACGACGACTACTACTACTACTACTACCACTACTACTACTACTACTACTACTACTACTACGACGACGACGACAACGACGACGACGACGACTACTACTACTACTACGTCTACTACTACGTCTACTACTACTACTACGTCTACTACTACTACTACTACTACTACTACTACTACTACTACTACTACTACTACTACTACTACTACTACTACTACTACTACGACTACTACTACTACGACTACGACTACTACTACTACTACTACTACTACTACTACTACTACTACTACTACTACTAC